GGAAACAATAGTTTTCTTTACACTGTATACTAGGTGTGTTTAGAGCAAAAATGATGGGACTGGAAAAACTTTTTTTTAACTCTCATTACAGGCCTGTAATGAAAAGTTTACGTTGATGTAAAATAACCTTAATATTACGTTACTTCAAAGTGCAACGATTTTAGAGAAATAAGGAATAACCTAATAGCATCAATTTATCATTGGCAGATGGTACTGAAGCGAAACAAAATGTTGACCCTGAGGCGTTAAGTCCAATTGTATTTCAAGGAATTAAAAATGATGACCTTATTAATAGACACAAAACTTGATCATGCATGGTTCATATTTGAATTGCTCTTAGATAATCTAGTTAGTATGTCACCTTAAACATTATTTTCTCTTTAATTACCGGTCACTAAAAAATATTCATATTCAGAAGGACAATTATCAAAAAATAGTTTTTAATCTCCATAAATTTAATCGTTTGTATCAAATTTAACATTTGATACATTAAAGAAATAACAAACATTAAAGTTTAATATTTCTCATGAATAAAATTACAATTAAAAAGATACTTAACAAGCACTGGTCATTTGAAGATGACAATTCTACATTTTTTTTTAGCAATTTCATCTTAATTACTTCTTGTCCAGCAGCTACTTTGTTTGGCAAATAATGAATTTTCTTGATAACGCTCTCGACTAATGTTTACATATTCATCACTACAGAGATTGCTACGTAATTTCTACCAAGTTTTTCCTTTTGAAAGTAAGTGGATGATATAAATAGATTACAATTTATTTGACATTAGACCGAGTGCAAAGAAATATTATAGCGACCTATATTTTTTCCAATAAAAGGAAAGTAAAGAAGCAGATTGTAGCAATGAAACCATTTATAACTTATAAACTTTCAGATTCAGTGATATGATTCAGTTATACAGGGTCGCCGATATGTATGGAAACGGTCGATTATCTCCTAAAATAAGATAGCTATCGAAAAATAACAAGAAGCAAACGTTTTAGGGTTAAAATCTGTTACAATAAAGAAAAATAAAAAATACAGGATCGGTCAAAAAGCCATGACGAAACAAAGTTGATTTTTCTTTAATGGAATACCCTGTATATTATACCATAATTCAATTCTTCTCGAAATTCTAAACAAAATTTATTTAGCACATCATGTACCTAAACTTAACCGTTTTCGAGATATAGAACTTTGAAAATCATTTTCTTATAAATTATACCAAAATATTTTAGTCTATTAAGTTTATAGTCCATCAACTTACCTTTGAAAGTTTCTAGCTCCATAGAAACGTCGCGTCGTTCTTTTGTCTAATAGTGATTATCTTGACAACACATCAAAAATACATTTACCTAGTGTGAATAATTTTCTCGCAAAAATAGCACATTTAACTGAAACCGAGAGTATTGAAGTTTTAATAATCACAGGATATGGTGATAGAAGACGAAGTTGTGACGAAGTAGTGGATATTTTTCATTAATTGCGTCCCGATCGGGAACATATTTCTAAATCTACCGTTTCAAAAACATTGCAGCGTTTTTATGAAGCTGGAGGTGTTAGAGATCGACGAAAAAGTAGAAGACCAGACCATTCATATTTTGGATGTATGGTATGGGCATTTCCAAATGGAACTTTTCCTGATAAATGGATTGGACACAAAGGGGCAATTGAATCCCCAGCTAGGTCTCCCGATATGACCCCGCTTGACTTTTTTCTGTGGGTCACATAAAAAGTGTAGTCTACAAAAATAGGCCGCAAAATATTGAAGAGTTGCAGGAAAGGAAAATGCATGAAATTTCCACTATTCTTCCCAACACCCTTTTAGATTCACTACAAAATTTTGTTCAGCGAATTCCTTACTGTCAGGAGGTAAATGGTGAACACTCTGAGCACCTTCTAAAAATAGAATTCCAAAGAAAATATTTGTTGTTTATTAAAACTTCTCTTCACTTTTTTATTCTGGCATAACTATTGTTTTAATAAAATTTAAAATATCATATCCATATCCTCCACCTTCTGGTATTTTCAAAATAAATATCCATAATTTGAAGCCCTTTTTCTGTTATAAATTTGAGAGTAGATACATTCAAAGTTCGATATCTCGAAAAACAATTAAGTTTAGGTACATGATATTGTATGAATTTTGTTCACAATTTCGAGAAGATTTGAAATATGGAATAATATACAGGGTGTTAAAGAAAAGTAACTTTGTTTCGTCATGACTTTGACTGATCTTGTTTATGTACTTAATTTTTCTTTATTGTGATATATTTTAAAAAAACCTAAAACGTGATTGTCTTATGATTTTTCGATAGCTATCTTACTGTAGGACACAATCGACCGTTTCGATACATATCAGCGAGCCTGTATATACCTACGTACATATTTATTTCCAATAACCGTATAAAAAAGTATCTCCTATGTCTTAACTTCTCGAAATGAAATGGTACAGCGTACAAAATTAAATAACTAAGCCAAATGTAGGACAATTATTGTTGTAGCTCGAAATGGAATGCTGGTGATTGAATATTAATGAACAACTAAAATTGTTAGCAAGAAATATTGGCAGGACATTCTTTCTGACTCATAGTTGGCATTGATCATATAAACTTGTTCGGCACAAGTACTATGGTACGAAATTTAAGCTAGTACTGTTATGCCATGTTTTTAACCAGCAGTTAATGAGAGATCAGAATAGATTAAAAACAGTTTAGCTTTAGATTATAAACCAGTTCTGAATGAAATCTGCGATAAATTCTTACTAATTACCAAGCTCATAATATTCATTATCGAAAATACTGTACTGAAACCCTGTGAAATATATAAATAAAAACTAAATGGTTTTTGTGTTATTTATTTATAAATCGTCATCTTTATCAATTAGTGGATACAAATTAATACATAATATTTTAAGTTTGAAAGTAATCTTTTTCAATATAAAAGTAAATATTTTGGTTCTTGTAACAATTATAATCTCTTCTGTTGCATGACTAGAGATCGAAACCTCTGTGACGACTATCAAATAAACAAAGAGTAGTAATCTATATTATACTAGTAAGCGGCAATACGCTTTGTAGAAGCAGAAATAGGCTAAATCTATGGTCAGGACGTGTGCCGCTCTATGCTAACGGTACACAATGCTACTGACTGCCAAAGAAACATGTGCCATACACTCGACCAAGCAAACCGTCAAAGTCACACACGCACAAACGAAAATGCAATGCAAGGCCAACGTCCATCAGCAAAACACCTGCATTGTTCACCGGCACGCCAGGCCGACAGGGCAGGCATTAGGGTATCATATCGAATAAATTGATCGATGCAAAGCTTCAGAACAGAGGCAGACACGTACATGTTATTGTACAATGATGCGAATAGTGGGATTGCTAAAACGTGAAATAGGTTATGCTTGTATTAGTAAAAATAGAATAATATAAAGAGAGCAGTTATAAGAAGGCAACAGTTGTGTCACTTTTTGTTTGAATAAAATTTTATTGAAGAGAACCCGATCTACAGCCTTTATACATGACTGTTTCGTTGAATTCAAAATACTGCAACATTGCTGTATATGTATGTCACCTCTTGGTAGTAACATAACCTATATAAGTGACAGACAATGATGCCAGACTTAGGGATTTTCTCCTAGTTCTAAGGAAACATAATAAGGATTGTATACTTTTGTGCAAATTATAGAATTTCAGACTGTAATTGTTTCATAGAAGTAAATATGGTAAATGTTTTTGTTGAAGCTAAATTTCACCTCGTCCGCAACAAATCGATGTAGTGAAATACTTTTATAAAACATACTAGTTAATTTCACATCTAGGTATTTTCAAATCTAAACATCTCGTATCACTAATGAGAACACTATACAATTTTCATTTAAATTTTCATGGTCTTTTTATGATTTCATATTGTACATTTTATTGAGCAATATTATTGCTTTATTTATAATTGTTCTACAGAAATGTTTTAATTTAAACTTCGTTAAATCATTGAAACTTTACACAAACATAAATTTTGCCTTCAGGATTAACCAAAGTACGTACAGTCACAACTTTAAACAACTTATACTTTCATTTATTTGTACCCCGCTTAACCCTACATAAACAAGTGCATAAATGCAGCCAATTCGTTAAAAATAGCTGTCCAGGTCAAGATACGAAACAGATAAAAATGTCTCAAAAATAACTACTACTGATTTCAATCTAAAATACATTTTCACAACCTATAATCCAGAATTAACACACATGTCCTTAATTAATGTTTTCATATTTTAATTATGCCAATTAATTAATTACATAATTGATGCAAGGAAGAGATAAATAATTACATAATTATATGTTTTTTCTCCCATGATATACATACAGATGATCTTGTGACTTCTTATAAAAAGATATTTAAGATCATATAAACGTTTATTTGCTTTTTTTCAAAAACTGATAATTTTGTTTGTAGTCAATAAAGTTTATTCTGAAGTTCAGTTTTATCTGATGAACGCTTCTTTCTGGATGTGAGCGTAATACGAGTATGAATAAAATGAGAAAATATTTAAAACAATAAAATATGAAATGTATTTGTTTTAAAGTTGTGTAGTATATAAGTACCATAGTACTATATCCGACAACAAATATATCTTCACATAATGCACAAAATAATACGAATTTAAAAAGTAACACAATACTAAACTTATAAACAATTGTTAGATGTTTATTGAGCTTGTCTATTTACATGCTACTTAAAGGTGATCAAAACTATTCCAAATATTCTAAATATCTCACAACCCAATGCCAGTTGTGGGTAGTTGATTCGAAAAACAAAGTTTATATCTGATTCCGAATTACAGTGTTTAATGTTGAATTTAATTTAGTACATACAATTTATCGTGTCAAATAAATAAACATAATTAGTTTCCTTGCAAAAAGTTGCATGCTAACGAGTTCTTTCAACTCGGCAGCACCAAGATCTGCGATACAAAAACAAGATATATTACATACCTCTTAAGCTAGACCATCTTAATTGCTCGTTAATGCATAACCCGATAAACGATAACAAACGGACGCACAACAGAAACAAACGCCGCTCGTTTTCAGCGACTCCCGCGACCGTTTTCACTCGCCCGGCCGCTCTAAAATCACTGACCGCCTTGATTTATTTTCAGTTTCCTTTCACACACAGCAAGCCGTCTGCCGCTACTACCACTTACCGCTCGGCGATGGTAGCGGCGAACACCGAATACCGGAATGCAACTTGGTAGTAGGCGATGTGAACTTGACACATCGCAGCTTACTCTGATTAGGATTAATTGTTCTTCGGGTACGGCCTTATGGAGAGAGTGTTAAGATTATTTTTGGAGAATCTAGCTTTTGTGATCGAGATTTAGTCCCAATTCCGAAATTTAATTTTAAAAAATGTTAGTTTTGTTATAAAAGGTCGACGTGACGTCACAGTGATTTAAAAGTGATCAGGTTTCAGTTGCAAACGATTCTGGCGAAGAAAAGGTCCTGTGTCTACGTATTATCAAATTGTTTGGAAGTAAATAAGAAATTAGATACAAAAAATTGGATTCGATGTATGTAACTTTCTAAGAAAGCCATTACTTATGGAAAATATAAAAAGTATTACATTAGATGATGGTGATCAACCTCTGGGTTTTTCTAGATTTTGTCTTGAGACGTGTGTAGATCGTACTACTACTGGAAAAAATTAAAGAAACAAAAAATTTTCATGAATTTTTTAGTCACTTTACTAAATGAAAAATGGTCGTATCGAGATAAACAAAAAGGCATTTTGAAGCTTTAAGTATCTACTTTCAAGATCTTTAGACAAACAATTTTTTTGAGCTATGATTATCTAGCAATCAAAAGAAATACTTTTTTAGGACTATCCATGAAAAAAATTTTCAAACTCAATAAATACAGAGGTCACTTACCCTATTTATTCAGCTTCAATTTGATTTTTGAAAGGTCTCCGTGCGACTATTGGTTGCCGAGATATTGCTGGTTGAATGAAAAATAAAACTTTTGTCCTTAGTCATCGATATCCCTGCATGAAATTATCGCAATCCATGGAGAGTCCTATGAAGAAAAACAATATTGGAATTTTTTTTCAAGGTATTTCTTTTGATTACTCGATAACAGTAGCTCAGTAGTAAAAAAATTTTTGTCTAAAGATGTTGAAACTAGTGACGTAAAACTTCAAAATGCATTTTTGCTTATCTCGATACGACCATTTTTCATTGAGATAAGCCTTTTGAAAATCACTAAAAAATTTACATTTTTTGTTCCTTTAATTTTTTCCAGTAGTGTATAAGAAAATGCGAAAACTTGTAGTAATGATACTATACTCAATATTTTACAGTACCCACTGTAATTATTATACGAAGAGTGCTGAAATGTTTGGCGCATTGAATGAGACCATTTTCAGAGGCCACTACTGAACGTTTCAAAAGATCACCGCTAAATGATGGAACAGTTCCGTCTGTAGCGGGTTTAGAACTAACGGAAACCGAAATTAACTTCAGGGGACGGGGGGAGCTAGGGTTTTTGATAGCGGGTTCGCCCCCACAGATTCTAGCCCAAGAACATCAAGAGCAAGTGGATAATCCTAACTAAGGCCAAGGAAGTGCAAGACATTCTAGTAGAACAAACATTTTAAAACAGGCAATTAGCAATCAACAGATCCTTAATTGGATTTCGTACGATTACGTGCGCTTCAAATGATCTATAAGAATGGATTTATTTTCCACAACGCCTATTTTAAATGCAGTTGGTTACCAGATAAAACTGCGTATAAAGGTCAGAACTATATAAAGCTCAGCATAAAGCTTTTCTAAACTGTTTTCAGAATTTTTATTCTACATAACTTTTAACATTAACGCATTGTAATATGTAAAAATATACACTTGAAAAACAAGTTCATATATTTTAATAACTTGGCGATATTCATTTGTTTGAACTGATACAAACTTCTGGCGCTTCATGAAAATTCAACAACTTTTATACATATTTATTTATTCTGCAGGTGTAGTGAAATATTATATAAAAACTCGCTGAACAGGGAATATTCTATCCAAATATGTAAAAATATACTGGATGTTCCATTTAAATTAACAAAGTTAACATCAGCGGCCACTTTGTTTGGACCTCAATTGTTTTTTAACTATCATTTTCGAAAACTTCATAAAAAGTCGTGCAACTTTTGTATTTCACATTTTTTTATAACTTTTAAAACAAAAAAGTTAAAGGGGGGTCAAAATATAGTGAATCACGCTGTACAGTGTTTCAAATTTAACGCATCGGTCTTATTACGGGGAAACGAATAATTTGACTTATTGTCTCAAATGGGACTAAATAGAGTCCATCCAAAAATATTCTTTTTCAAAATTCTTCAAATAGAAATTACATCAACAATTACTTTTTCAAGATGATTCCCAAATTTTTCTCCATAAAGAAAAGTTGCATTTTTATGTAGAAATTTCTGAAAATAAAAGTTTAACCCTTTTTTTAATTGTCTCTAAAATCCCGTCCCGATACGCTCAATAGTTTATTAACAATTAACGTTATAAAAAAGCTATCTTGGGAACAAAGAGGCGTAAATGATTTATCTTTTTTGTAATTATCATAAAAAAGCTCTATTTAATGGAAAAAGAGCAAATTCCCGAGCAGCTTTTGCCTGACTCTGGGACAATTTGTTTACAACGGTGTTTTGTACGTCTTATTTTGCTGTAAGGGGCAACTTTATTTCAATTTTTTGAAATTTTTCTTTTTCAATACATTTCTTTGGACAGGGTTCATAGTTCAAAAGTAAGAATGAATTCCCTGACTTTTCCATAAAATCCAGGTCACTTGTAGTTCATTTTTACATACTAATTGGTGTTTATGCATTAAATTTTTTCTCAACTGGAGCCCATAATCTTTTTATACCATAAGAACCTCTTATAAAGGTTTCAAAACCACAAATAGTTTTCTCTTTCAAGAACCCAGGACCGGCTTTCACAAAATTTCCAGTTGCAAACATCAAATTCCCTGACTTTCATGAATATTTTTAAAATTCCCCAACCATTCCCTGTTTTTTATGAAGAATAACGAATTCCCTGACTTTTCCCGGTATTTCCGGTTTTCCCGGCCGCTACGAACCCTGTTGGATCAATTATGAACCTATATCTATTTACAGTATTAACTTCTAAAATTGACGTTTAGTTATTAAAGAATTAGTTGCAAAAAAAACGAAATTAAGCTGCAAATTCCTGGAGCAACAATTTCACGGTCAATCGGATCGGCATTTGGCATACATGTTGGTCTTTTCAATAAATTTTATCAACATCCATCGCTTTTTGCAATAATAAAGCCCAGTTTTCGAAAACTGATTTTTCCGCGTTCAACCTTTATTTTACAGTTAACAAATTGGTGAAATATGACTTTAGATACCTTATATTGTAGATAATTTAATTGTCTACAACATATAATGAAATTTTCCGATAGACTAGACTAGACTTTCGTGGGCATATATTATTATTTCGAATTTTCACCACCAAGAACGGCGGTGACATATTTAACATTAAGGCGATGTTTCGCATTGTATTAGCTATGTTCTGTCCAAATTTGGTTAGTGTAACTCTCTCGGTTTTAATAATACAATACATATGTATGTTTTCAGCCACGAAAATTGAATAATTTCAAATATTTCGCATTTTCACCACCAAGATCAGCGGTGACAACATGTTTAACATTAAGGCGATATTTCGCATTTTCTTAGTTATGTCCTGTCCAAATTTGGTTAGTGCAACTCTCTCGGTTTCGAAAATACGATACCTATGTGTTTTCAGCCACGAAAATTAAATAATTCCAAATATTTCGAATATTCTCCACCAAGAACGGCGGTGACAACATTTTTAACATTAAGGCGATGTTTCGCATTGTATTAGCTATGCCCTGTCCAAATTTGGTTAGTGCCACTCTCTCGCTTTCGAAAATAAAATAGCTATGCATGTTTTCAGCCACGAAAATTTAATAATTTCCAATATTTCGAATTTTCACCACCAAGAACAGCGGTGACAACATATTTAACATTAAGGCGATGTTTCGCATTGTATTAGCTATCTCCTGCCCAAATTTGGTTAGTGCAACGCTCTCGGTTTCGAAAATACAATACCTATGTATGTTTTCAGACACTATTCCTAGAAACTAGATTACTCGATATTAGACAATTGTATATGCACCAGATTGTTCTCTTTATCTACAAGAACAAAACGTTTGAAAAAGTCAGTCATTGTTATTGTACAAGATATAAAGAAAACAATAATGCAAAAATTGACCTTACACAAAGAAATATTAGCCTAAACGTCATACTCACCTTTCACAAAGAATCTTTAATAGTTTGCCACAAATGTATAAAATTTATTTAGAAAAAATAAACTCATTAAACATGATAAAAAAGATTTTTAAAAAATATATAATTACATTAGTTAGAACAGTAACTAGGAATCTAATTGAAATTCTTAACTAAATAGCCTTCTTTCCTGACACTCTGTACATGTAGTCCATTCAATATATAATTTTTCTTTATTGTAAATTGTAATTGTATTAGTACTTGTAGTCAAAAATAAACTAACTAAGGCTTATCGGGATGTCTCGCGCGGAATTCAGCGCACGCATTGCGTATACTTAAGCCTTTAACATGAAGAAAAATTCAACTTTCTCTTTTGGATTAAATAACTGATTCATCTTAGCAACTGAATTAAAACGTTATTTTTATACACATTCAAATACAACAGCTTTCAATTAACACAATGAAAATACAATAATGATAACTTATTTCAAATAACACAATTTTTGTTTAATATCCAAGGCCTACTATTGCTGTATTAGCTTTTTTTAGTTCCTGCCGACTGCAGATTATTTTCCTTATTTTTTTCTGATTGTTCGAAAACGGCCACTCCAATAAGAAAATGTGACATAAAATTTTTTATTTAGAATTTGAAGGTTTGTCAAATTTTGTTAAAATAATACGGTGTTGTCATTTAAAATATATCGTATTTGTAGCTACTGCAAAAGTCTGGCAACACCGAAAAGAATTATTTGTTAATTTTTCTTAATCAAGTTAGTCCCTACAACTTTGCATTTGGAAGTACTAGTCTATTACTTCAAATAAAAAAAGTTGGCCTGTCAGGTTTA